AATTCAGTTTTGCTTTTTATTTTCTTCTCCAACACTTTCATCTATTTCTTTAGTGGAATTCATAGGACAACTACTATCATTATCAGCCGTATTTAAATTTTTCTTCTTCAGCGGCATAGGACAAGAAAGAGCTGGTTCTTGCATTCGTCGACCCCAAATCCGATACACCAGTGGTTGGATCACCATTCGGAAAATGAATAGAAGAGCTGGGATGACAAAGCATGGTACACACACCATTATAGGGAACCTAAAATTAAAAATGACATTGTTGGCAAATATAACCTTTGGTAGATACTGCAGTTATAGCCGTGCAGAGCAGATATCCACAGCTACTTAACCTTTAAGAACGGATTCACGGCAAGCATAACATTACCTTGAATCAAATCAAAACAATCCCGTGGTTAAAAGTCGAAAGTCAAATGAATTTCGGGTTCTCAATGTTTTGCAAAAGATAAGAATTACTCTGTCACCAGTTAAGAAACGAGAAAAGTAACGTTGCTGACAAAGCCAAAACCCAAACTAGTAGCAGACGCTACGGAATGCCAAGGCAACCAACACTGAAAAGCTGACTAATAAAAATAGAAGTATACTTTCTGACTCAAAAATTAAATCATGCTTTAAAAACTAAATTCAATACAATATTTATAAGTCAAATTACAGGAGTATATTGTTCAAGACTATTTTCAAAATCTGATCAAAATATAATGCAATAGTTGTGGTTGGTAGAACTTATAGCAGACAGGGTAAACAATAACAATAACATAAACAAAAACATCGTCACAACACCACGCAAACATACTTTTTCAGGTTAAAGTATCCTCTTTATTTTATTGATCAAAACCATTAACTTTTACATCATATTTGAGCTGTAGTTATCACTGAAATGGCACCGTCCAGATTAGAAGTAAATTTACGAAGGCTTCTCGTACAGTGTGAACTGAGGGCCAAAGAAGATATACAGACAGATTGGAGACTCGACAAGGTAGGTACATGTCACCGATATTCTGTAGCAGCGCTGTCAAACCCTACGTTCCTTGTCAGCACATACTAATATTTTACTATTATTATGTGACGTGAATAGACGACCTCTTTCATTCTTTCTAACACTTTAATGTTATTTTTTCATTTTCTTTGCCTGCTTGCAGTACATAGGGACACTGGATGAAATGTTACGGAATCTTCAACGCATGCCCAGGTATGATGACACTTATTTCTGTTGTGAAAGTTGCCTTTTTGTTTGTGTTCTATTTAGTGTTTGTTTTTTGTCATACTATCAATTTTCATTAAACTCATATATTTCAGTAAACCTGCAAAGGAAACACTAAGCGAATATGGACGAAGAGTTGACTTTTTGAAAGGTCTCATTCATACTCAAAACTTGGTAAGCATTAAAGATACATCCTTATATTTTGTATCACACTGCTTCAAATGTATCATTGCCTCCACAGTCAACTCCCGAAGAAAAAGTTGTCGCAGCTCAATTATTGCAACCTGAGCCTCCTTCCTCTGATGTCATTACAAAAGAAATTCATCAGAAGACTACATCTAAATATGCAGAAGAATTACGTGATGAACTGCTGTCTTCTGGATCAGGTTCTAGCATTTTTTAGGCTCCTGAGGGTTTCTCCTTGTATTACTGAAAAGGATATTTCTAACAAACCCCCTCCCACCCCCACCTTGTTGCAGATGGATCCAAATCACTAAGGCAACGTAAATCAAGTAAACCTTCATCTGGAGAAGATTTGGATGCTCTGTTACGCCACCACCATGCCGTACAAGAGAAGATAGCCGAGGACATGTTATCGCTTGCACGTAATCTCAAAGAACAATCTCATCTTGCCAGCACAATTATTAAGAGAGATACAGAGGTGATAGTGCTCTCAGAAATATCGAGTCCTTTTGGATGTAGCCTAAGTGCTTGTCTTAACTCAAGATCTTTATCATAGGTTGTGGAACAGTCTGGGTCCTTAACTGATGCAAATTTTGAACGATTAAAATTGGAATCTGCACGGTTAGAAGAACATACAAAACGGGCATGGAGGTGCTGGATGTGGGTGATGATAGCTGTGGTGGTCATTATATTTGTTAGTAAGTATAACCCA